AGTTAGATGTACCATAGCCAAGCTGACCCTCCCTATTGCAGCCCCATGTGAAAACTTCACCATTATCAGAAACAACAGCTGTGTGCTTGTTTGCTGCAGCAACTGCAACAACTTTTGATCTAAGGGAACTCACTCTTCGAGGTGTAGGTTGGGTGTCCACAGAAGTGTACCCAAGCTGACCCTCTGCCCAACATCATGTGAAAATAATCAATTTTCCGTAGTCCTCAGATGTTAGCAACACATAGATCATAGATAAATCTTTTACTAATACCAGAATACATTAAAGGAAAATAATCAATTTTCTCATATATCGAATCGTGCAAGGACCCAGTGATTAAAGACAACTAAATTTGCGCTTCTTTTGTTATGACAGGTAAGTGGTTTGCAAATTGCAAACACTTTTAGTTGGAAGTCCTCATATGATTTACCTCTGTTGGATCCCCAAGTAAAAACTTCTCCACCCTCTGTAGCAATAACAGTGTGATGTTTAGCTGCAGCAACTGCCTTTACCCGAAGGGACCCTAGACCAGAAGTCACCAAACGAGGTGTGATAACTGCAGCTTGACCACTGAAATGCATATAATAAAATGGAACTGATTCATGCTTCGCAAAAGGTACAACTAGCTAAAGCATGAAAATTTCAATTGATTAGCCACTTTTATAAGTGAAAGGCAACAGAATTCAACTTTTAGTCATACGGAGAATAAAACCAGGGATGAATATGGCTTGTATGTTTCTTGCATCTCAATGTTTTCACAAGTTCAAGATAAAAAGTTCTGCCAACTTAGAAATTACATTCCTACTTGCATCATTTCTATTTCCACAACGACGGGCGCATTCGTGTCCTTCTGTACATGAACATGTAAAGGTTGAAATACTACACACTCAAATTTGATAATATGTTAAAGAATATCATTTATTAAAAAAATTACCAAGTCAAAAACTTTTCAGTAAATTATTTTTAGATACTACAGGGAAATGCTAAATCAACCAAGGTTAAAGCCTGTATTATGTTGGACAGGGTCTACATAGTATCATAAATGTTTATACCTGTGTATATCAAAATCTGGGTGACCAAGTCGTCCTCCTCTTCCAAACCCCCAAGTGTAGACTTCTCCTTGAGACGTGACTGCTACACTATGGAACTTAGCAGCAGAAACTAACTTGATTAAAGAACCATGAAGAGCATCCACCTTGCATGGTAACTTTTGTATGTGTGCATTTCCAGTTCCAAGTTGATAGTTTGTGCCACTTCCCCAACTATAAACCTCTGTAGTAACTAAAGAGAACAACAGCAATTCAGCAAACCTCTAACCACAAGTACACACAAGTACATTCAGTATGAAACAGTATATGATCCTCATAAATCTTGGCAAAACACAGCACTAGATACCAGAATTATGTCCATCTTGAAGAACTTGCAAGACAGGCCCCGATAGGAGATCGATAGGTGTTCGAGATTTAGAGTCCTCCAGTGAGATACAAGCACCAAACTGGAGAAGTATACTTGCCACAGCAAGATGACCAAAATGCAGAGCCCTGTGAAGGCTACTCCATCCGGATTCCCCATCCTGCAATAAATTATATGAAGGGCCATGCAAAGATAAATCAAAAAAATTGGTTTCCACATTTAAGAAAAATAAAAACCTGAATAGAATACAAAAGTATCTATTTATAGATCAAATATTTCAACTTTCCAAGTATTTACCTAAAAGGGCAAGTTAATTCTTCAACTTTAAATGCATTATTTATATACCACATATTTCAACTTTCCAAGTATCATTGATTATCTTAATTTTTCGAATTTCCATGTATGATTGGTTATACATAGTTACGAACTTCATAAAGTTCTAATTTCATTTAATTATATGTTCCTTCAAGAAGACATGCTTGGTAAATATTTGGTTCAGAAATTTTCCCTTAACTTGTTTTTAGAATATTAAGTAATTATGTAAGACAAGATTTAGGAAAGATTATAACATGTACGACACCAAAAGGAACACTACTTATCCAATTTCTTTTCCCAACCTACATGGCGAAAGATATGGCCACACCTCATCATCACATTCAGGAAAATAAATAAATACATCATCACATGTCAGCTTGCCATGTTGTTTGCAAAAGAACATTGGTAAAACTGTTGGGTTGGATAACACTGTCCTTAGAAAAGTTATATCTTAGATACAATTAGATGACAGGAAGAGAAGACAGAATATCATCTCAAATTTAGAGGTGCAGGTGAATCAAAGCAAGAAAAGCATTAATCATTTCAGTATAAAAGCATATAAAAGAAACAACTTGACAGCCACTAGCAAAAACATAAAAGCATTCATGTAAACTTAAAAGATCAGTAAAGCAACAAACCCTAGCATCTGGGTCAGCACCAGCTGTAAGAAGCCTCCTAACAATAGGAATGTGGTTTCTCCATGTTGCAATATGAAGAGGAGTGAGACCAAAAATATTTCTTGAATTAATATCACCACCACTCTTCTTCAGTAGTGATAGTGCTGAATCCACATCGGCCAATGATCCTTCTCGCACAACAAGCCAGAGATCTTTCTGCGTTCCAGTAGACAAAAATTTGCGAGCAGGTGACTGCAACTTCTGCTTTTGCCCTTGAGGTGAGACTTCCATTGGTCTAAATCACAAGGCTGAATGCCACCAAACAATTTGTTTTTTTCCACCAGAAAAGTAGGATGTCAGTTCATGCCAAGTTGCCAACCAACCAAGCAGGCGCCCTTGTTGAAATTGGTTTCATCTAATCCATGTTAGAGTTGATTTTCCAATTCCAATATATAGAAAATTAAGTAGCTATATCACATGGATGCAACAATAAATTGAACAACTGGTACCCACATTCATCATTGGCATCCTTATACTGAACACAAATCCCTTGAAGAAGCCACCGGAAGACCCAAATTACTGCTCATGCGACACCAAAATATTCAATAGACAAGTGAAGCGAAGGACGGTATTCTCAATTACTCTGACAGTATAATATGCCTTCAAGCTTGCCAACTGAAACAAATATAAAATAATAGGAATAAATAAACAAAAAATTACCTGGATTGCTGGAAAACAGAGGCATCTTATCTTATGTTATACAACTCATCCTCTGAATGACTGACACATTTACTGCTAAATGCATTCTCAAAAAGGCTAAATTGCATAGGTGAATTATTTAAATGATTTTCATATACTGGAAATTAATGGTAAGAGCAGTGCTTGCTTACAACAACCACATTACTCTTCTACTTTCAGTATCAAATATAATATATCTATACAACATTTGCACATAATATAAAAACCCAGACATAAAATGATGAGCCTCTCAATTCAGTATAAGCTAATCAGACACAATAGAAACTGAAACACAGAAACACTGTAGTAAGCAAAGAACTAAAATTGATCAAACACCGAGTCTTAAATCTAATCAATGCAGGAAATAAGCAGACGTTGGGTTATAGTTAGCATCTCCGAGACCTACTTTCCGCAACATTTGGTTAAGTCAAATGGAAAATCAAAAGATACCGTCAACTTAATCCTTGCATCACCCAATCGAATCAAAATGCAAACTTCAACACAGAATTGGCATCACCTTAAAGCCCACCAATCAACTAATAATTTTTGAAACCCAGATAAAAAAGAGATGAGAAAAAAAAACAGATGAATTTGAAGAGTACCAATTAACATCAAAGCCTTATGCAAACATTGTTCTAGGCAAAAAACCAAAACTGATCTCAGAATGAGTCAGAAATCTAAGCAATGCAGCAAACAGGCAGAGAAGAGGTTGGCTTATACTTATGCATCTCTGGGATCTACTTGTCCTTAACAGCTGGCTTACAGTCGAATGACAAATCAAAAACACGTTCAACCTAATCCCCATATCACCCGACGGCCTCAAAAGCCAAGAAACAGACGGACGGATAAACTCACAATTTCGAAATCCAGATAACAAAAGATCATAGAAAAAGCAATTGAATTTGAAGAGCACCAATTAAAGCAAATTAAATCCACCACCAGAAAAACAAAATGAAAATTGAAGTCTAAAGAAGAAAATGAAATATGAAACTGACACCAGAATGGCAATATACCAGCTAATCACACCCATAAACCAGAAAACAATCAATACCCATTTGCCAAAAACTCCAAAAATCAGCAAAAACAGAGATAATTAGCTTAGAGATATACTCAACAACTGAATTGAATCGCATCGAAATCTCAAAATAAAGCGTTAAAAGAATTACCCAGGAAAAGAACAATATATAAATCACCTGATTTTTCTTCTGAGAGAGAATTTTCACTCGTTTAAATTAAAGCAATAGAGTAGAATCCTGGAACATATGGGCGGGTGATGTGCCTGTTTCGCTGTATTGAAGAGTATCGAAGCGGAGAATATACCTCACCACAAACAAAGGCTGGAAGGCATAAACGCATAAACGCTCTCTGAGAGAGAGAAGCCGAGAAGCCGAGAAGCCTAGTCTTGAACTAGAAGGGCATTTTGGGGATTAAAAATTTTGGGTGAACAAAAATGAGCCTATACTTGGTTTGACGAGCATTGCGTGCGTGGGGGCGCCACGAATGAATGAAGCCTCTCTCCTGATTTGGTGGCACGTTTTGCTACTTAAGACTTGTTGGGTTTGGTGTGTCTCTCCGCGCTTGACACGGGCTGCTCATAAGGCAGACGTCTTACCTTCTTTCCCTTCTCTTTTTGCCCTTTTCTTTGTAATTTTTTCTTTTTTGGTTTTTTTCGGTAATCTTCTATTATCATCATTATTATATTTGTTAGTTTATTTTTCCTACTTTAATCCACCTACACAGAAAGCTTTAAGCGTCGACATTCAAAATCTCACAAGCTGTTGTTAAAGAAAATGTTGAAACATAAGACGTTTCATTAAATAAGAGGTCATATTTATAATGCAACGGTGGCCAAATTCTTATATAAATCAGGATTTAAAGTTATACAATTAATATAAGAATTCTTGATATTGGTTCATGAGTCATGCCAACAAGTACATCACTACAAATCCTGTTGTTAGCACGCTCAGTAGCAAGCCTCCTGATGATGATCTGCTTTCACTCCGGTGTGGAGCATAATTAGCAGGTATGGAGACATTTACAGGTGATGAGCCTGAAAAAGAGAAAATTTCAAAGTATGACGTAGATACTAAGGAGAACTTGAAAAAAATAAAATAAAATAAGAGTTCATATAGACTCATAATTGAACTTACAATCATAGTTGGCCCATCCAATCCGTTGACGAGCTAAATCGTACACAATTATCTTATCTTTTAAAACAAGATCTGCAATTGAAGAAACAAAAAAAGGTCATAATTAAGACAACACATTTATGATTGAGATACACTGTTTTCAAAAGCAAATTGTGATCATCAATATTTATCATTACAAAAAATAATTGCAAAGTGCTCAGAAAGCCATTGCATTGTGCACCACTAGGTAGACCAGAAAATACATTAGTTAGCATAAATCCCAGCATAAATAAGCTTCTGAACAAGTAAACACATTGAGAAAATTTGAAGAGGATTCATCCAACCAAATATCAACAAAAAGTTTTTCCACAAAAATTGAATAACCAGCCGAAATTGAGGGCCTAACCTCCTAAAATTGTCACCCGTCCCTGAGCCTTCTGAAAACCAATGCACCACGCACTAATGCCTACCTGTAACAATACAATGATTCATTACAATTTGCAATAATCATATGTCTAATGCAATGAATTTAAATAAGAAATTGTACAGAGGGAGATGGAGGAACAACTTACAATACTTGTAAGGTACTCTTCTGGTTTCAACACCATTGATGCATCAGCAAAGTTTAGATTAACTGTAGGAAAAACCTCAGCCAAACTGAAACATAAAATGTCATTCAGGTCTCCATAGCTTTTCTTAAGAGGGAAACTTAAAAAATATTTAGAGATAGAACCAACCTAGTGGTTACATGATAACACTGGTTTCCGTCTGAAATGAAGGGAGTCAAAGATGGTGAAACAGCTGAAGTTATCTACACATCCCAACACAAAATCAGCTTTTAGTAAGGAGAAGATATCTTATTTTTCAAACCAAACACCACAAATCAACCCATATATAAGACCAAGTGAATAAACTTACCGCACGAACAAAAGGAACGTAAGCTTCTTCAACAAGGTATGCCAATGTTGTTCCTGAATCGATAATAGTTCCTCCCTCGTGTGATGTGAAGGCTGCTGGATCAATTGGCAAGATTTTCCCATTGACGGCAATGGTCTGCAGATTTAAATAATAATGGTGCCTGAAAAATAATGGTGAAGGACGCTATATGAAAAACTCAAAAACAAAGAAGTAATATAAGATAGCTAACAAGTAAAAGTTTAAAAAGCCAAAAGTGACAGCATCTCACTAACCCTTAGTGAATAAATTGATTTCATATAATAAATTGTAGCAACACACACTAGAAGAATTTTGGGCAATAATCACTATTTTTTTAACCAATTATCATATAAAGTTACTATTATCCTTTAACTTAGGCAAATTTTACTCTTTATTGGTAAGTTGAGACTATTAATAAGTCTAAACGTCCTTTAATTTAGGTAAATTTTACTCTTTATTAGTAAGTTGAGAGTTGAGACTATTAATAAGTTTGTTTTCCAGTAACTATTAGACAAAAATAGACTAGGTTAGAAATGTGGCTGTCTTGGTTATGCAAACCAACGGAAATCAGTGGCTATAAACCCTAGTCTTTATTTCCTTCTCCCACTCCCTAGTCTAAACCCTAGTCTTTATGTCCTTCTCCCATTTCCTTTCCCACCAAAATTCACAGTTTGATAGTAAAGATTACAAGCAGAAAGAAATAAGAGAAAGGTTTCCAAGAGACGTACCGTGGTGGAACAAGAGGACTGTAAACAATACTTGGCTCCAAAATCTCACCAAGAGCAAGTGTACCCCCTCCTTTTTCATCTCCCTTCAAACAATGAGAGAACACTTTGGGAGTCAACCCTCGAGATGACAACTGCGATATAACAGACAGAGGCCCTTGGCTAAACCCTAATATCCCATCCAGTGTTTCAATTGAACTAGTAAGACCCACAGACTCATAGGTAGTGCACCTGTATGTTTCCAACACCATCAGCCAAGGCAGTTTCAGAATTAATTCAATCAACACAACACAACATACTTATAATTAGAGAAAAGACTCATTATGCCAAATGGGAAAGGGCAAACAGGATGTCTATTATGATCATGCAAAAATAAATGTCACCTACAATAAGAGATGGAATTCCACCCTTGAACAATGCTAAAGATTTCCTTGAGACCATCAGCCTAAAATTCAAGGAATCTGAGAAGGCAGAGATGGGATTACGGATCAAGAAACTAACAGATATGAGATATGAAGGAGATGGCTGTGTAAGAACATATATTCTGGACATGATGGATTTTGGCATGAAACTGAGAAACCTTGGTGCCTATATAGATGACAACATGCTGATATATTTAGCACTTAATTCACTGCCAAATGACTTGAAGTAGGTTAAGAGCAACTATGTGACACAAAAGGAATCATGGACACTGGATGAGTTGATTCAAGTTTCTGTGCAGGAAGAAATTTCAGTTTGCTTTGAATCGAACCTAGTTGATATATCTAGTGACTCTTGGTGGCTTGACAATGGGGCAACTATACATGTTTCTAATTCCTTGGAAGGATTCACAACCAAGAGGGTGCCAACTAAGGATGAAATAAAAGTGTATGTCGGCAATGGAATTCAAGTGAAGGTGGAGTTCATTGGAGACATCAAGATTAGATTACGGTCTGGTTTTATTTTGGATTTGATAGATGTGGTTTATGTTCCTGCTATGACAAGGAACTCAATTTCTGTTTCTAGGCTTGCGAAAGCTAAGTTTGAGCTAGTGATCAATGATTTTGGATTCTCTATTTTAAGAAATAAAATTTCAGTTGGGAATGGAACCCTTGTGAATGGAATGTATCAATTAAATGTCCAAGCATCTGATCAAATTATGAACCTTACAAGCACCAGCAAAATTCAAAATAAAACTCAATCATCTCAATTGTGGCATAAGAGACTTTAAAACAACTCACCCAAAAATAATGGCTGCTGAAGAGTCAATATAGGATTGCCCCTGAATCCGGTCAAAATGTAGTGTATCCGATACGTAATGACCAAGTGCCCCACTTCCATCTGCATATTGAATACTGTAACTGCACTGGTTAGTCTGAGGAGAACATTTGGCTTGAAATGCGGAGGTGCACATTGAACAGGGGATCAACCGTGCAGTTGATGAGCTGGCAGAATCATAGGAACTGAGCTGAATCTGTAAAACATGGAACAGTAATGTTGTAAGATTGTTAAGCTTTATTATGGAAGAATTTGAGAATGACAGACAGCAAGAAAAAGAAGCAGAAGTTTACGGGAAGCCAAGTAGACCGGGGGCAATCACTGCAGGAATTGCAGGCAACCCACAACCTTTCACTTCCAGTGTCAATCTGCACGTTGAATTCTTTTGGCGGAGAGCCCAATTTGACTTTGGTATAATAAAGCCTGAATATGGAAGAATTGAAGATGAGTACAAAAGTGATTAGCAGAAGTCAAACATGATTCCATATATAAAGCTACAAAAGATTAGCAGCTAGAAGCACACAAATCAAAGTAATTAAGAGTGGTGGCTAACATGAGCTTCTCTTCTCCAACAATTTGGTTGAAAAGCGGCGGTAACCTACCTAGGATATTCAAAAAGAGAGACCAGAAGCATGCATGCTCTTTCAGTGGTCCCTGGTGGGACCACCATGTGCCCTCTTATCATTTTTAGCCGAGAATGGCATTCTTCGTTCATTTTTCTTTTTCCTTCATGGCCATGCAAAAAAGCTTTTAATTTTCACTAAAACTGCAAAAACTTTTTTCTTCCTGAGTCGCTACACGTGCTTGTTGAGGTTTTCCAAAAAGCTCTAAGAGTTATGATACAAATTTGATTTCCTGTTTTACCCTTGTGCAAACAAAAACACCAATCCATCCCTTTTACCAAATAGATTTTTGGGCCCAGTATTGTCCTTTTTTATATTAAAAATACAAAACAAACAAGATCCATCGTCCCTAATTGAAAAGAACGCCCAGAACCAAGCAGCAAAAAGCCAAACTTAGTCAACATAAATTATTAAAAACGAAATTATATATTCCCTACTCTAAAAATCCTTCAATCATCAACAACAGAAACAGCATTAACATTTTCACCAAAAATAATAAAATAAAAACAGCATTAACAAGAGACTCAAGCCCTCTACGTTTGACGATAAAATTATGCAAGAATTATCAGCATTGACTATAAAAATTACCCGGCCAGGTTTGGTTCGGCGTAGCCATGGACTGGGAAGTCCACAACGCCGCCCGCCACGTTTTGCAAGAGTCGGGCCTGCCTGACTCGGTCACGAGCTCGGAGCTGCTCGATCTGTACTTGGTGACTCGGCGGATAAACCCGTTCTAAAGAAAGAAAGGTGGAGACGACGCCACCACAGTAGACAAGAGACAGCACGGTGAAGGAGGCCAGGATCCGAGCCTTCAAGCCCTGCATTTCCGCGAAATGGTGGTGGTGAGACTCGAGAGAGGTCTGAAGTTGGAGATGGAGTTTCCTCGGAGTGCTGGGCACGGTTCCTAAACACTTCAATCGACTTGAGAGACCCAAAAGGGATTGTGGCGGAGGAACAAGTGTTGGGGTTTTCTTTTTGGGCTCTGTTTGAATTTCCTCTGGTGCGAATCAGTTGCAGGCAATAATATAGTCCTTCATGGCCATGCAAAAGCTTTTGATTTTCACTAAAAATGCAAAAGCTTTTAATGCATGATGACCCCACCCCTTTTCCCAAATAGTCCCGAGTCGCTGTTGCCAAGCTTACATGTGCTTGGGGTTTTTAAAAGAGTTGAGTCCGAAGAGGCAGGTAGATACCAATTGGCTTTGATACCAATTGATAGGTATCAATAAGCAAAAAAGAAAATAAAGTAATAAAGCAGAAATTAAAACAGATCTCCCGAAATGGCCAAAGGCCTTGGACTTGTGTCGGTATAGATACAATGGTCCATTCCGAACAAGAACATAAGAGCCAGACACGTGTCACGCTCACTTATTTATGGAACTTAGCTGTATAAATCCTTTTCCTTTATTCGGAAATACGTGCTGTGTATGCACACATCCTCCACGTGGCACCCCCAGCAGCAGAAGGAGCAACTCTATATAAAACCACACTCTACACTCTCTAGTTCCTGCCAAACAACGCAAAGCAGTTGAATTTTTTTCTCAAAGTTGCTCTAAATTTTTCCGAAGAAGAAGAAGAAAAAAAAACTCCGTTAGAATGGGCACAGCTACCTTCGTTGACATCATTATAGAGCCATCCTCTTGGGCAAAGGCCTTGGACTAAATACAATGAGATTATGAACTCAGCAATATAGATACGGAAAGAGAATCCAAAGGCCTTGTTTGCTGAGAAAATTATATAATCTTTATGTATTTGATTTTGAATTATAGAAAAAAAAAAAGAAAAAAGAAAAAAGATTTTATAATAGAAGGATACATGATGGTCATCCTACAAGTACAAGGTAATAATAGGATACATGGTAAGTTTGGTTTGGACTTCAAATTTTCGTTATGAAATTAAGTTTCCTAATATATAATCTATAAAATTATGAATTACTGTATTGTGCATGGGAGCGAAGGATATTATTATTGTGGGTGGTAAAGAAAACTATTTGAAAAGCGTCGGTAGGACCATATTCTTATACTATTAAATGTATAATTAATTATAAAGATGAATTGACACTTTAAAATGGCGCCTTTTTTTTAAATACATTTGTTGTTCACTTTGGCACGGATAAGTAATGGTGCCTTTTCAATGGGCACAGTAGAAGTGATAACAATATCTTATAAACAATGAAAACCCCAAGTATCAGATCCCAAGTTTGGAGCCAATATCTTAAGATGTAATGAGAGAATTGTTAGTTCATCCATTTATGAAAGTCTAGTTTCCATGGTTTTTTCATTTCCCCTTATAAAGAAGAAAAAAAAAATGTAACCAAATTAGTGATTTAATTGGCAAATGCAATGACAGATATGTATTGCATATGTATAGCCATTTATTGCTTGTGTATTGCTATTGTATTTTCCTCGCATATCCGTTTTTTCAAATCTCTATTTGAATAAATTTATAGTGGAGTATGGAGTTTGTGCATTGCCATTGTATAACCCTTCATTGCTTTTGTATTGCTTGTGTATTGCTTCCGTATATCTTTTTTTTTTTTTTAAGTTTGTGTTGGAATAAATTTATAGGGGGGAGAATGTAGTTTGTGTATTGCCATTGTATTGCCCTTTATTGCTTGTGTATTGTTACTGTATTGCCCTCATATATCAATTTTTTTAAAGTCTGTGTTGGAATAAATTTATAAGGGAGTATGGAGTTTTTGTATTGCCATTGTAAATGTTATAAGCTTTATTTCTACTCTAATAAATATTAGCCCACTCCTAAAGCATATAGGAAATAATAACATCAATCCAAACCTATATAAATTTACCGGAAAAATCATTGTAAGTGCTTCAAATTGCCTCTTTGCTCAATTGGTGTGCAGATTACCTTATTTTCATTTTCAACATTTAAGTAAATGTCTTTGTTCTTTTACTTTCATTTATTTTTATATTACTTCATTTACTTAAGTTTACAATGTAAATAAAGAAGTACCTCCCATTTGGATTCAAATAAAAATACTAGAAAATCAATTTCTCACCAAATCAAAATATGAAAAATCGGTTTTAGTGCAAAATACGATTTAGGTTAAAAATGATGGCTCATTAAGTCAATATATACTTCATATTAAAATTCCATAAAATCAAGTTTTCTTATTTGATGTGTAAGGAATAAAAGCCGCCAAAAATTATCTTGAGAAAATGAGTATTCCGAAAAATCATTTTTCATACTTAGTGAATATTGCACCTCCGCTAAAAAATTTCTAGATCCGCCAGTGGCTACACCCACAGAGAGTGTAGGGGTCTTTTTCTTCCGGCAGCTACAGATAGGCTGGGCCGCCGTAAGGAGCAAAATATGAAATTATCCCCCTGTGG